ATCAGACGACAGGACTTCATACCCAACACAGATATATGAGCCAGAGCTAACCAACAGCCAGTGTCTACAATCATACGCAAGCGGCGTTTCATGCTAGAAGACGTCTGCCATCTAGACTTAAGTAAACTAGAATTGTCTTCCAATATTGAACAGGTTTTGGGTCAGATAAACTATACCACTTAGGCATGTGCGTTTGCATGGAACATGGGTCGGAATTAGGAACCCTCCTTGCTGGCAGCCAGGTGCGTCAATAACAGACAAGGCCCAAATTTGCATATGTAGCAAAAATAATGGTTCTATTTTTACTGAAATGGCTTAATTTAATTCGTTATCCCTCAAAACATGGGGATAGACACCAAAATTATTCTGATACCATGAGTAGTTACTGAGATATTGACGAAAAACAGATTTTCAGTAATGGCCGCCCTAATTTGCATATTGCGCGGCCCAAATTTGCATATTTAGCAAAAAATAGTGGTTCTATCTTTACTGAAATGGCTTGATTTAATTCGTTATCCCTCAAAAGATGGGGATAGACACCAAAATGATTCTGATACCATGAGTAGTTACTGAGATATTGACGAAAACTGGATTTTCAGTAATGGCCACCTTAATTTGCATATTGTGCGAATTGCCCAAGGATGACAGAGTGGCATCATTCAGATTCTGAAAGAGCACACCTCAGAGATATAGAAACAACAAAAAAACTTTGTATGGACCGCATTGCAAGGTTCTCCAAAAATCGGGGGTTTGGCAACCGGACTATAAATAATGATGAATAAATTATTTGTTGACTTATTTTATTACTTAAAAAAAGTGTCATTCATACTTAAAAAAAACACTGGAAAATCTTTGAAAGCATTGTATGAATTTTGAAATCAGTACATTCTTTGAGATTATGTTAATTAAAAGGGCAGATTTTCTCTACCTGTATTGTAAATAATAATTCTGTTAGCTTTTTTCATATTTCTGAGATCGCTTATATGACGACAACAGGTTACTCAAAACATTTTGTCAAACAGCCCCGGACTTACACATTAACCTCTGTACTTGTACCTGTACTATTCTTCCTAGGTAATAACTAAGTGCTATGTTAATTATATAGCAGGGTACTAAACACATTTGCTAAATAGTTTGTTCTCTCTGACTATAGGAGTCCAGTGGAATAAGTCCGGAGGGCTGGAGACCAGAAGATGACCACCTGGAATCCCCGCGGCTCCGCACGCCTAGCACGGCCGGCACTCCGCTGTACATGTACGGGGACCGCGTGGGGTCCCGCCACGTCAAGAGAACCAACCGCACCGCCATGTGCATGGGACGGCAGATGACGAAAGGAAAACACGAAGGTCCTGATGATGAGGAGGATTCTCCCGAAATCCAAGATGGCGACGACGAAAAGGACCCGGATGCTGGAATCCAAGATGGCGATTCTGTGGGCAGAGATGAGGGGAAGGAGAGGCCAAGGTCAGTGCGTTTTGCAGGCGACAGAAATAGAAACGGGACGCCTTCTGTTAACTCAACTATCCGCGCCGCCACAGCAAAACCGGCTTTGAAACATGACACCCAGAAGACAAAAGATGGGCTTAAAGATGAGGACAAAAATAGCACGGATGGTACTGAACAAAATCCTAATAGGGTGCTAGAGAGGAGGCCATCCGAGAGGAGACTGGCAGACGAAAGACGCAAGTCTCTCTCCAGAGTTCCAAGCGTCAGGAGATTTACCCAGAGTGCAACGCCCGCGCATGCTCGGTACGGCCCGCCAGTTTTCACTCGCGTTCCAGCGCAGCACCAGAGGCCGGGGACGTCACCGGAGGGGCAGAAGAAACACCGGCGGCGGAAATCAGCCAAGTCCGACCGCTCATCCGGAGACGAGTCCTCCCGCCCTTCATCCCCGATCCTGAGGCGGGAAAAACTGGTGGTGAAGATCTGGGACCGGGTCAACCCTCACGACGCCAAGCAAGAAATCCACAAGGAGGAAATCGTGAAGGTAGGGTCAAAGGTCAACAACTTCTTGTCCATGCTGGAGGAAGAGTTTAAAAGGAACGCGGCGGACGAAGCCTTGAGGGAAAGAGAGAGGCTGCGACCGAAATCAGCCTCCACCGTTTACTCTGAAGACGGTTGGTGATTCTGCCATTCAGCCATGAACATTTAGGTGGTCCTTACCGTCCGTCCGTCTAGTCCCATGACCGACACTGGTCGTCGGGGGGACAAGGCAGACTTTGCAGCAGAGGTGTAGCCAGGTCTTCCTGTCTTGGGCTGCTGTCAGGAGTTGTGGGACGGTGAGGGACGTCCAGTCCTTGATGTTTTTCCTTACAATAGCTTTTAAAAAGGGTGCACTTCAAACTTATTCCGGTAGGAGGCGAGCGAGATGTTTAGAATAAGCCAAACTCGGGACTCTTTATCGGACTATCATAGGCAATAGACTAACTACTAGACGTGTAATATCCCAATACTCTAAACGTGTGGACTAGATTCTCAGGAAAATATAGACACTGACTGCTAGAATCGTCATGTATTTTGCGTGAATGTTATGACAAAATGTATTGCTTTTAACGTTTTGTTTTTGCTGTATTTTGTGCATGGCTTTATTGGTTCATGGCACTTTGAATATTTTGTATATGAAGCATTTGGAATGACGTTTTTTCCATGACAGAATGTTTGACAGAGACATATTATTAATATTACGTCAAATGTAAGAGAAGGTTGTAATTCTACCGTTTTCAAAATGATTTGTGAAAGGCGTGGATTTTGACTAAGTAAGCAAATGCAAGAATAGAAGAGAACGTAGAGGAATGGATGTGATAAAGTAGGTAGAGATACTGACCGCAGATACAAAATACAAAAAATAAAATTCATCGCTACCCAAATTATGCCAGACTGTTCTCATGGCCAATATGTACACAGGGCAGCGCCAAGAAGGCCAGACTGTTGCTCAGAGTCGAACTGAGGTCGATCTGTGGTAACATTTATCTAGCCTCCTTCGCAGTCTTGTTGGGCGTCGGCGTTATTTTTTCTCTGAGCGACGCGAGTAATATGCCGCCGCGAGGGACGACTTGCCGAGGGAGTTTTTGCCACGGAGAGAAGGTTTCGTGCTCCACCTTCTCTCCGTGGCAAAAACTCCCTCGGCAGCGAATCGTCCCTCGCGGCCGCATATTACTCGCCTCGCTCAGAGAAAAAATAACGCCGACGCCCAACAAGACTGCGAAGGACGCTAACATTTATCGTTGTTTGTTGGCCCTGGAGCTGAGGAGATTGTATACTGGCCCTGACAACACTCTGGAAACCAGGCTAGACTTGGGATAGACTTGTTCCATTCATTTTTGGTTTTGCTGTCTGCTAGCTTGCTACATTTATGAAGTATACATGTATCAATATCTGCGTTTTTTGTTTAGAGAAATTTAATTTTCCCACTCTAAACGTATCACTTTCTCAGGGTTGGAGTTATAACTTTTAGATTACGACGTCCATGTGATGTAAATATTTCCGTTCTAACTAGAGACGTTTTATCTGTATTAATACATATACATTGTGTACACATACAAAACAACTGGTTCTTACGAACCAAAACTAACGTGATTAAAGCTATGTACAGCTATCTGCGTCCAGTCATTGATTTCTTGATGAAAGAGAACTACGAATAGATCTAGATGCCGTCTAGCGAACTAAAATAGAATTGCAGCATTAGGACATATCCAACCTTGCGTGCATGGTAAGCAACTTTGGGTCAACTACGGTACCCTAGAAAATAGTTAACCGCCACACATTAATATACACAAGCGAAATAGGTCACCCACTTCCCCATACAAAATAGCCGCACTAAGGCCACTGTCACACATTCAAAACCATACCGCTAGCTATCCACACAGGGTTAGGTTAGGTTGCCTAACGTTCTTTAGCAGTCTGACCAGATTTAGGCCTTTTTAAGCGTTTTGTACGAATCAAGTCAGATTTGAGTCCAATTTGACACTCGAACTCGACACCCGAACACTGCGACCTACTTTCAACCTTCTGCCAACCATAGCCGAACCCCCTGCCCACACCCGAATGTTTTAAAATAAATTTAAACATTAATTTAAAGTTTTGGCTAGTGCAGCCGAACAGTTGCCGACCTTTCCAAACACCTGAGCCAAACACAGCCGACCTTCCATGCTCCCGACCTACTCCTAACCATAGTTGGGAGGAGGTCGGCAGTGTTCGTGAGGCCGTATGCGTGAATCTGTGACAGGGGCTTTAGTTACATGTACGCGAATCTGTGACAGGGGCTTTAGTTACATGTACGCGCTTTGTTAGGAGTATCCATTTCAATGGGCAGGTTACGTAAACAACACCTCCCAAAACCCACAACATTTTGGAACCTTTTCTGTCCGTTTAGGTTACATTGTTCATTTACATCACAATACTGTACTACTGGGAGCATGGTCGTAAGATGGTGTATCTTTAATGTTTGTACCCTGACTGTGACTGTTTGGTAAATGACTTATAAAATCGTTACTGTTGAGCAACATGTATATTTGCGGGGAATGCAAAGTGGGGTCTGTACTTTAATTTGATTCCGGTAGGGGTCGCTGATTCCTGTGGTTGGAACTACAGGTACCATATCAAGCCATAACATGTCAAACGCGTTGATTACTAATACCATTCAAGCAAATATCATGTCTTGTGTGCTCTCAAATCGAATTGTGATTCATAAAATACATTGCATTTGCATAGAATCAGTAATAGAAAAGCCTTTAAAAGAAAGAAGTTCAAGGCTGTGTATTGACATCAAGTAACCCCTGTTTCGTAATAAGACTCAAGAACCTAACCCGCAAAGAAAGCAGTGTGCCTTTGTTTTGACGTTGCTCTTATGACCCCTAGCGGTCGGACATAATAGTGTATCATTCTCAGTAATGTTTCTCCTGCAGATAAGCGGGAGACCGCTAGGGACAATGGGCTTATGTTGACTCAAAGCCGTCAATTAACCCCCTCATGGTACATGGACCTAAACAATGGTTTGCAACACATAACGTTAAACCCGAACCGCGATGTGTCACCAGACACCATTGGCGGCGACGTTTGATTGGAGCCGTTGCTAGGGGTAACCAACGGGGTCAGGCCTGCAGACGACTGGTCACTTTCTTTCGCTCTGTCGTCCGATCGGAGGAAAGTTTGGTCAGCGCTCGTAGAACTCGTTCCGTGGACTGCAGACTGGGTAACTCGACGTCCCACGTTCACAACACTTGCCGTCCAGCGAGTCTCATCAACTGTGTACGTAGTTAACACTATAGAGCTCCGAACGGCACTCATGTGTGCCAAATTCTCATTGATAGAAACACAGTTTGTTTTCTTCGAGTACCCAGGAGTCGTGGTATAACACCAGGAACAACAAAACGGAGCCAACACAAAGGTAAGAACATGTAGATAGAACTCGTAAGGCAACTGATTGAGTCGTTGTTCTATGTTAATCATTTTAGTATTTCCATGTCAAGTGTAAAAATTATCGTTATACCGTTAAGATCAGTTATGCATTTCCTCTTTGCAAAAAAAGCCTGGCTGTAATGGGCAAGACATAGATGGATAACGCACACATATAGAATCAACGGCAGTGCATTCAGTCAGAATTCTTAAACTAGTTCTAATACTAGTTTTAACTTATTTATAGTTTATCCTGTTTGCATTATCTACACATGCTAGGCAAAGACTAGAATTCTATTCGGTAAAAACATAAAATACTTGAACTTGTCCTACGTTGCTAACCGTGTCTTTTTAATTGAACTGCAACTAGTCGAGGTATTCTAAGCTGCGGGCAATTACTTCGAAGCCCATACCGTCTTTTACAAATTCCATTATATTTTTAACCATATGTATCATAGTTATGCTTTGGGACAAAGACTAAACTCTCTTAAACTTGATCTGGACAATATCTTTCCCATTTTCCGTCAGTATTTGAATGTGATCTTCAGAAATTACTTGTATGTAGTAGATAGCCAGCAAAATTATCATCAAGGACTGCCATTTATAATTTTCTTTGTGGTGTCAGAAAAAATATTGGTAATGTTTCATAGAGTACATTCTTAGAATACATATCACAACAAGTGAGTATATCTAAAACCTTGATCACATACGTTTTGCGTTCGTCCTACGATTATAAATGAAGGCATTCTAGGGACAGTCGTGATTTTGTTCTAAAAATTCAGCGGTTTTATTACGGAATTCCGGAAAAATTCTTTCTTAGATTATTGTCAGTGTTATGTGGCAGTCTTGTTACGTAGATTTTTTTTTTAGGATTCTTGTCAGTGATTGAGTATTAGGCTGCTTCACTGCGACATCATAATCCTACGACAACCTATGGCTAATGCTAGTGTCAGAAAGCCAGGTGTGTGGGGTCGTGTGGAGTAACTGTGCTCGACTTGGAACCAAGAGGTCCCAGGTTCGAGTCCTGATGTGCCACCGATCTTGTGCCCTTGGGAAAGGCACTTAACACGATTTTCCCCACTTCACTCAGGTGAAAATGACTATTGTATTGTCTTGTGTTGGTAGCGGTATTAACATAAGTTGAAAAAAAAAACTTAAGCGTGCCGTCACCACGTCTTGTGATTACGTGTTGGAATACAGAAAAAAAGCCTGGGCGGTGGTGAGTTCAAAACCACCAGAAAAACAAGGGCAGGGCGCAACCATACAAACATGGATGCATGTCCAAGTCAAGTAGCGTTCGATACGGACTCAAGTAGGCGTGCAACTCACCAGTAACATTAGGCAAGTTCTCTTTCTTTTCCTGGCGGTTGAGTATTTGATCTGTAACCAAGACCCGGCCAGGTCCAATGGTGGAGGAACAGTTGACGTGAAATTTGACCGAGGAGAAAAACACGCCTCGACGGTGACTCTATTTGATCACCTGGTAGTTTACTGGGGAGAAACGTGACAATTTGTCGATGTTGTTTTTACTTTCAAAATCGATCGTTACCTTTAAAATAAAATAAAAATCACTTTCCTTGGTGAAGAAAAAGAAAAACCGTATAGAGGGAAAACTATTGAAGAATTCTGATACTGGAATAATGTACAAAATTTGTAACAACATTTGCTCGTGAAAGAGTGTGTTTTCTTCCCTAATGTCAAGACTCTGTGTTTAAAAGACTCTTAAAATTACACCTTTAAGGAAATTGGTCATACCGACAATATAGTTTGTAATTTATAGACGTTACAAATGACTTTTGCACTCGCCGGTAGTCGTGGATTAGACTGAGGGTAGTTTAGACGCCACACATTGCTTAAGTGGATTTAGAGCTTATAGTTCCGGGGGTAAAAGAACCAAAACAACCTTTAGAGTAAAATACAAGAATAATCTCTGAAAGGTGAGTAGTTTGGTCCCTCTGGCGGGTACTTGTGTCAGTATCCCTCTGTGTAAACAGTTGGTGTGTAATTTTCTGGGTATGTCTTTAGGTTGCAATTTGACAGGTCGCTATTTGTAGGATTGTTGGATGATTTTTAAATACGTTTGCTGGATCGTTTTTGTAGCTTTGTTGGATAGTTTTATAGGTTTGTTGGGTCGTTTTTGTAGGTTAGTTGGATTTTTTTTTGGTTGATTGACTAGTGTTTGTAGGTTTGTTGCCACGTCTTTGCAATGTTATGCCTTCTACTATGAAGTGCATTTTTCCTTCAGTCACTTCATGCAAAATCAAGAAACCTAGAAAACCTCGTCAGACTAAATTGCACTCAAATAACTATAGAAGTGACCAATTAAAATAAATTAACGCCACTGGATTGATTTAGGAAGGCCACGTTGAGTAACATATATAGTGTTGTTGACGAAATCCCACTAAAAAGTCGATTACAATTCTACAATAGTGAAGGTGCAGTCTCAATTTATCAAGAAACATTAATTCTACAAAGTAGTATTCTAAGGTTGGCCTTTAAACCTAAACCTATCGATACACCACAAGTCT